CCCCCAAATCATCGGTGAACGAAACTGCGGCAGCTACAACCAGTGTACGACGAGTACGCGGTTCTTACAGCTGACAATGATGACTCCTACTCAGCTGCTACAGTACGACAATTAGGTACCAGATAGAATTGGAGTTTCCCGACTGCGAAACGAACAACCATGGTACATCAACTGACTGACCCTGCTTATACATTTGAAATGCGAAAACTTTGCATGAAACGATGTTGACAGGAGCACAAAAACCTTGGACCTTTACCCAAACGATCCGTTTCACGGAGCAATGTGTAGTTAACTGGTCGTTACGACGATCGTTGGTTATTTATATAGGGAATTGATGAGAGCAAATTGAACTATGAACATCGCGTGACCCATGTCTCCTGACTGCTTTGATGAGATGGACCGAAAGGACTCGCCGTTTAGTACTTTTCAATGGTATCCAGCCAGTGATCGCTCACGTCATCACAGTTTTGCGGTTGACTTCAGTCGCGACAACATATTTTTCTATCGAGCTTGGTCTACCAAGATGACAACAGACGATCGGGTGGACAAGGTACGCTAGAAAGTCGTTTACTTTCGATCAGTCAGTGCCAAACTGCCATGGAATCCGAAATAAGCACGAGGGCAGAGATACTGTCAAGTGGTCCAAGCCTGGACAGGAGCAGTCGAGATGCTGAGGATGGGTTCGAACCACAGACCGCAACTTAACCAGAACGAACTACGGAGGAAGAAAGTCCACCTCTGAAATACCCACTAATCCAGGTCAGCCTGAAACCCTCAGGGCGGCACATTAGCTCAAGGGCTTCGTGCAGGTCGAATGAAGACTAGACTCATATCTGGAGTACTGGATGGTCGACGCGCCTTACGGGGCTAGGATTCCTTGGGTCTGTTGGTTTTAGGTATCAAGCAATTTACCGTCCCCACTCGTTCAGCTGTAGCACCCTGAAGGTGCCTAACTGCCATGCCACGCGAAGGAAGCACGAGGGCTGGAATACTGCCAGGCTGCCGAAGCCTAGACGGGAGAAGTCGAATGGCAGAGGTCGGGATCGGACCACGGACCTTCCAGTCAGTAAATTAGCGCTCTAACCACTTAAGCCATCTCGCCCCCATTAAATGACGCACGTGCTCCACGCCAAGCTGTGAACGAAGATTAAACAAAGGAAAGGAAAATCAGTGGGGAAAGAACGGTGACCCAATAACGACACTATGTTGTACTGCCATCCGCTCTCAACTGCTTCCCTCATCGGTTGCCGCGTTTGGGTGTTATCTCAGCCAGGCGGACTAACGAGAATTAGTTGTTTACCTGCCGTCATCCATAGGATCACTATGGATAACAAGTTGGGTGAAAAGTTGATAAACAGAATTACTGTGGCACGTAAGATTCTCGAAACTCACCGACAATGGAGCTCAAGCGACAATTTCGGCGATTCGCACGAGGTCCTCAAAAAATTCATTTAAATCATATAAAATTCTGTGTACTCAAACCGTAGCATAAAGTAACACCGTTTGGAGGGGGCCCGTGGCTCAATCGTGTTTTTGAAGATGGACAAGCTATTTGTACCTACACCAAAAAATCTTACGTGTACTGGAAAACCTAAGAGAAAAACTCGCACAAAGCGATTATTAAAAACATCAGACAAACGGAATCAACGACTACACTCGTTTGCAAATCAATTTGGTTTTCACGGGAGACTCAACTGAATCTCTCGCTTATGATACTCTACAATGAGGCGGTCTGTGTGCAGCAAATTCAGTTGTAGAATATTATAAACGAGAGATTCAGTTGAGTCTCTCGTGAAAACCAAATTGATTTGCAAGCGATGTATTTCTCGAAAACAGTCCAATTTGGGTTCAAACAGAACATAAGGGTGATGGAAACTCGGGGACTGCACCTACCTGATGAGCCCCAAGAAGGGCGAAATGGGTCGTGGGCTGTCGAAGGGTTTTCAGCAACCTTGTGATTAGTTTCCTTTATGAATCAACGACTGTTTGATCGATTGGAGGAACACGTCAAAACCAGCTCATTTTTCGCTACTTTTCGTTAAATTAGGTTGACAAAAACATTCCACTCACATGATTCGTAAGTCCAATCACACAAAACCTCGCGCTTGCCGATGTTCACGTCCCTTAATGCGTGCTCCGTATTCCCAGTCAAGGAGTTTGGGGCCCGATCCAAGATAGCTCGTTCGTCCTCATCATCGTCGTATTGTTCAAGAGAGGGTTTACCACTGAGTGGAGCATCACCGGTGAAACACGAATAAGCATCCTCATTTGCATGATGATGATGATGATAGGTCGTTGGTGTGTCAACAAAGCTATGAGTTGATGTGGAATCTTGGATCGGATACCATGTTTCTTCTGACCAACCTGGATCATGTCGGTCCCGCAGTCGGTCCAGATCGTCAAACAGTCCCAGGCTCGTTTGTGTGGGATCTGCGATGGGTACATTGTGGTCGGTGCTCAACGAGTCATCCAAGCTAGCTGGACTTATGCGGCCATGTTGTCTGGGGATGGGCGAAAGCGAGAAAAACAGAACTTGAGACGACGACATGCTGAAAAAGACGTTAGGTGTCTGCAACCCCACAACACAACGTCCTGAAGCCACACAAACTTGTTTCAGACTTGATCGAACCCAGCTGAATCTCTCGTTTATGATAATAGGCTGGCGCAGCACATTTAGTCAAAGTGGAGCATAATAAACGAGAGATTTAGTTGGATTATCCCGCGAAAACTAAAACCGTGTGCGAATAAGAGCATTGGTCGAAATTTGGGTTTGAAAAAATCGTTCAGCTGTAGCACCCCTTCGGTGCTTAATTGTCGTGCCACCAAAAGGAAGAACGAGGGCTGGGATACTGCCAGAACCTAGACAAGGGAAGTCGAGAGGTAGAGGACCTTCCGGTCAGTAAATTCGCGCTCTAACCACTTTGGCCATCCCGCCCAATTTGGGTTAAAGTGGAACATAGTGCTGACTGTGCCCACCTGATGGGCCCCAATAAGAAGGGCGGTGGGCAATCGAAGGGTTTTCAGCGACCTTGTGAGTAGTGTGTTACGTCTAGATGTTGCTTACGATTTGGGAGAATGACATTCCTGGAACACAGTAAATCGGTAATAGTGGCTGTTCGCAGCCATGAGAGTGCAAGATGACAGAATAAGTTAGAGGCGCCAGAGTAGGCAGTCAAACCGGGAATCTGGAAGAGGAAAGAAACTTCGTTTGAGGGGTCCTGGCTCTCATGAGAGATAGAGATATCCCACCCAGAAAATGTGTAAAAAACTCCCCGAGGATGCGGATCACAGAATGAACTCCCCAAAGCACTTCATTAGCTCTCGTCAGAGAAACAACACATGGTTCTATCTGTCCTGACTCATAGGCGAATGAATTCTAACGCAAACCAAGTCATCGACACTATTGTTGAGTGAGTAAACAAAAGAATTTGAAGGTAAACAGACAAGGTATGATGTGAATACGGAGAGAGCGCATGTAAAAAACGGATGGATGGACAACATGTGAAAAGCCGAGGCATGAAGGTCCAGTGAGGCCTGCCTTCTTCGAACATAAAAATACCTCGTGGGTTCAATGTACAACTTTATGAAAAAAACATCAACTGTTGCGGAATGAAATATGATTCAACCTGTTCATCTCGAAACCCAAAAAGCTGTGGAACAGTGTCTAGATGCGTTCCTTTGTTGCTAGTAGTAACCGTCAGGGAAGTTTCTGAATCCCTCCACTGCTCCATAGCTCATCATCACCATCATTGACATAAACACCAGAGCAAAATAGTGGTGCTAAACTGCCGTACAACCTTTCCAATTTATTTGAATAAAGGCTTATAGTGAAAAAAAGAAACGGGAGATAGAACCAGTTCGAAACAAACATTCCATGTGGCTCAGTGGTTAGAGCGCGAAATAGCTGATCGAAAGGTCCGTGGTTCGAGCCCGACTCTCCCTGTCTAGGCTTGGGCAAACCGGCAGTCTTCCGTTCGGCAATGGGGAACCGAAAGGAGAGGCAGAGGTCGGGTTCGAACCACGGACCTTCCGGTCACTAAATTCGCGCTCTAATCACTGAGTCATCTCGCCCAGTCAAATACCAAGAGGGTAGCATCCTAGAAGGCAGAAAGCATCCACGGCTCCAAAACGTTTCGCAACCTCATTCTGCCATTTAAAATTCTGTCCACCGCTAGCTTTCCACCACTCCGAATTAGGCAGGGCAAACAGCGCTCGTCCACACCAGTGCGTTACGCTTTTTCAACATGCCATCTACATTCATATGGACCCCAGTTGTGATGTGAAACAGTAGCCACCTGAACGCATATCAAGTACCAGTGGGGAGTTTTGGTCATCATCGATTCCTCAAGTTCCATAAACCAGCCGGCTTATCCTTTCATAAATGTAAGACACCATACTTCAGGACTGGAGAGATACGCACCGAAAATTGTGCTCAACTGGAATAATGTCCAGTGGTTCTAGGCTTTCCATAACTGTGATGGCTTCATGATCGATTTCTACAGGCCTTATAGGGTGGCGACCGCGTGGTCCCCATCACGCCTGGTTGAAGACGCTGCGAGAAATGGCTGCTAACAGATGTCATTGGCGTTGTTTTGCTTGCTGTTGTCAGTTTTTATCCGTACAGTCTGAATGACTGTTTGGAGAGATGGGCATCTCGGAATGATTGTGTTAGATCCCCTCCCCGTCCACTTTTATTATTCCTTTCTTAAAAATTCCGCTTTCAAATAAATTATGGTTGTACAGCTGTGGAGCGCCAATGGTGCTATGCCTTCGATGATGATGACCGTTGCATTCGCCCCCCCCCCCAAACTCACTCTGAACACCACTGGCATAACTGTATGTAAATGTGTTCGGCTGTCTGCGTTCGTCGGATTGTTACACCACACCCTGCTATGAAAAAGCTCGGAGTTCAGGTCTAAAAAGCGGAACCATCAGACGAACCAGACAGCCATAGATTCACACTACAGGCGGATGAAGACACCCCAATCTGCTGATCGATGTTATCTCCGCAAGACGGAGAATATAATTGTGGGCTTTTGAACCGATTTCTTGGTCTGATGTCCAGGGACGTCCGATTTACGCGTGACTCGAAGTTCCTTATCGAAGAATCACCGTTGACTGACTACCACAGTAGGAAAATTGAAAAAAAAAACGAATATCTAAAACAGTACAAATAAAGAGGTTTCAGCTGAGTGTCCTGTTAACACGAAATTGATTAACAAATGAGTGTGATTCGTCAACACAACTACCAAAACATCGGTACCAGTCCGAGGCAGTGGCCTGTAAAATCAAAACACCTGGCGATTGGCTAACGAGGTAAAGTTGAAAAGATGGCGACGGGGATGACAGACAGCGGGCCAACTTACAAGTTTCGTTTATCCTGAACACCCCATCGTTGTCCATTCGGATCCAAGTGTGCTGCGTGAACAAAAGTATTTGTGATCGGACGACTGATATCTTCGGCTACAAGAGAGACAGAAACGAGAATACGTACGTATTGACGACAAAAAGAGAGAGAAACAACCATGGCATCTAGGACTACTTCATATTTGGAAGTGGCTTTAGACACGTAATCGGGAGTTTTGATACCTGATGCGGCTTACCACAAATAATCTTGCAAAACCGGTATTCGAGACAGATAGGCAAGGGCACGCCCGATGGAATTACACAACGTTAGGAGAGTTTGATTGCTCAAAGTTCTATTCGTCATGACTCACACTAATCAGGAGGAGTAAAATAACGGAAACCAAAAGGAACAGTTCACTTTAGTTTACCAGCTATGAACGATGTACCAAGGGGATAAGTTGGTTGCAGGTACCATAGTTTCGGTCATCGGAAACTGAGAGGGCTTGGAAGATACAACCAAGCATTAAAGGCGATGGCATGATCAATAAGTTCGAGAAACTGGGCAGCTACGAGTTGAAGACGAGGGCTCTGATGAGCAAGGTTCACTGATTGCGTGATTGAGCCGCCTTTATCATTGCCATTAACCGGCGGTGAGTCTAGTCCCATGGTCTCCAACCAGGAAGGCGACAGTTTTCGACTCGACTGAGTCTACCGGTTAGAGTTTCCATTCTTCGTTGCAATGTCATATAGTGTTCGCCTCCCAGTCGCTCGCACTCAGCACACGTAGGAGCGAAAAGAGCTCCGCGATGAAGGCGATCCTCTGGCATGCGGATAACACGCCCTAACCAATGAAACATAACTCATCCATCACGGAAGAGCTCTTTTTTCTTTAAACACGATGGCGCACCTCATCAGTGGCAATCCGGCCAATGCGTCGAATACACTGATGGTTAAACACCGACAGCTTTTGGTCGTCCCCTGCCAGTGAAGACCACGTTTCTGATCCATAAAGCAGTCTGGATCGCGCCGGGGCAATGTGTTGTCTGCCACTGAAAGACATACACCAAAAGAATCAGGAATCCAATGGCAACTGCCAGCGTGCGACCAATATTCAGGGTTTTCCTTTGTCGGTTTAGGTGAGGGTCAAGCTGAGGCCAACTGGTTACGATACCGGTTGACGCTCATAAGTCCCGACCACAGAGCGGATATCGACTGACTATTGTCGCGGGAAGAACTCCTTCACAGCAGCGTTCTGTATGTGGGCTCTGGCTTTCCAAGTGGTCAGATGAAATATTGCAGCGTACAGAACAACAACTGAGTCATTTCCAGGTGTTTACTCTCGCAAAGGATCTGGGAGGAGGGAACGGAAACGGATCGCATTGGCCGCGTTCTGAAAACGGCAATTTTACTTGCCTGTTCGGCTGTTCCACATTAGTGACACGGCAATCCCCATAAGGACAGCTTGGTCCCTGCAGTAACGAAGCCTCTGAAATATTCCAGGTATCTACTAATAAAATTGTCAATTTTGAATACCGAAAAGGAGCAGATAAAAGCCGCAATTTGTGCACGAAGATCTGAACTGTTAAAAGAGGATCCTGTCTGTGGAGTTTGATTTGCCTGCCGCCAACCGGCTTTCCTCTCAGTTCCGCACGGCATCAATCCGAGGAGATGCGGACACCAAACGATGTGAGAATACTAGAGGTGATTGTCAGTCATACAACATGTTTGGGCTTCAACGGAGTTAATCGGACAAGCAGTTTGGAATGTATCAGGCAAGGTTGACCTCATCCATCATGATGAAGAGTTACTGAGGTCGAAACAGTTGGGTCCCCAATGCAATCTGCCATTTTATCACTGCGTGCAAGGCGAATTTTGTGTGTGCAGTTCATGGTTGCAAGTGGGCTGGGATACTGTGAGGGCGTCCACACCTAGACAGGAGGACGATTAGGGTCCTCAACCAAAGCCTTTGGCTCAAAAGCCTAACAGGAAGGCAGCGGTGTTCGGCTTGAAATGCAAGTACATTACCATTTTTACAAAACACGTCGCCACACCTGTTCGAGCCCCCAACCTGTAGGGAAGACCTCTATTAAGCGACCATTCTGGTTTGAGAAAAAAATCGATCGATCAGCTGTAGCACCCTTTCGGTGCCTTACTGGCATGCCACACGAAGGAGGCACGAGGGCTGGGATACTGCCAGGTCGCCCAAGCCTAGACAGGGGAAGTTGAGAGGCAGAGGTAGGGATCGAACCACGGACCTTCCGGTCAGTAAATTTTCGCTTTAACCATTTGGTCAAACTCGCCCCCCCCCAACAGGGTATGGTAGAGGAAGTATACAAACCGTCCCACCATGGTAAGATCCGGTCTCTTCTTTTTTCACAATAACCCTCTCGAATAAATCAAGGTTGTAGGGCGCTGAAGCAGCACTGGTGAACACTGATGTCGTGCTGTCGATGATGACGACGATGCGAGGCGAAACTTGTTGAACAACCGTGTAATCTAGACATATGAAGGACAGTGTTTTCCACTTGGGATGTTCACTCTAGTTTACCAACTATGTACCAAGGATAAGTTGGTGCTACAGTTTCGGTCCTCGGAAATCGGGAGGTCTTGGGAGATAATCCTCTCCCAACATCATCGATAATCAGCTCTAATTGGTTGACCTCGCGTTGAATACTAAACGGCGGTCCTGATTCGCTTGGTTATGGTACTCGTCTACCCAATTTTCATGCTAAGCGAGTGATTCAACGATAAGAGAGGAAAGGAAACCTTTCAAAACACCTTCCTCCATATTCTCAGAAACAGGTGTGGTCAGGTTGTACAAGAATCACAGACTGCCTTTGCCACGAGTCACACTTGAGGGTCAACTCTCTTCTTGATAATACGCACGCGCTTGAAGAATAGAAACATAAGAAAGGGACCTGTTTGGTATTTGATCGAGTGTCTTTGACCACTGAACCATCCCAGTAGATGACATGAATGGACTGTAGAAATCCTTTAAAAAGGTTGCCCATGGAAACCAAAAAACCGGATTAAAACAGCTCGCTCCACTTCGTTGTGTTCTGACTTTAAAAGTTTCATAGTATATGATAACTTTCACAATTTGCCATTGAACAGCCTCTGGCGAGTTTGTCCCCGGAAATCAGGTTTTGTAGAAGCTCCGAAAATTCATCTAGCTTGTAGCGTTGCCTATCAATGGGAAAATACCTTGATATCATGAATGTAGGACAAATTAAAACTCGAAGGAACCCTTGCACGCGAACAGGAAGTTCGCTAGAATCTCGATCAACTCCTCCCTTCACAAATAGACCAAAACGAGGACAAGTGATGTGCTTGCCAGCTGAGTATTACCGGAGATTGATGAAGAATTCACCCTTCGGGGTATCGAAAACCCTACACAGCTCAGTCAGTGTAATGATGCCTGAACGCCCTGCTCTGTAGAACAAATAAATTCCGGGCACTACCCGAGACCAGCAACTGATCCCCACCTCATGAAAGCACCCGTCACAGATGTGGGTTGTGAAATGCACTTTCCACAAGGAAGCGAAGGTTGCGCTCAACTCACACGTGGGCAACTGGTATTCATCCATGCAAGTAGACGTCCGGCTAGGAAGCCACTCTCAAATGAGAGAAAACAAGTCACACGCAACCTGGAAGAGTCTCCAGGTGACGCGTACTTGTACTGTTGAACAGGTCATTGTCGCCTGTCGTGTTGACTGAATCTACGGTCGGCAGCATGACTGCATCTGTTCAAACAACTAGGCGCAGATTGAGTGCCACCCCCAAACCGTAAGAAGTTTTCAGTTTGCTCGGGATTCCCCTTGGTTTTGGTTTGAGCATTGTAACTTCCTTCGGCCTGCTTTTGGTTGCTCGGGTACTGTACGAAATCTAGGTTTACATTCTGAAATCGGTTGAACGATTTGTGTTTTGTACACCACTTAACTCCCAACTGCGACCTGGTTGACAGACCATGAAAGCTGCAAAGCGGGCGTGGGGATGATTGATTGACATGTCGAGGCCTGCTTGCAGCCAACGGTCCGGCCCTTGCACAAGTCCCGTGCTGCAAAGACGGACACTAGAGACAGTGCTTCGGTTGGGTGCCCGCAAGAACCACTCCGGTTGGTCAACGACAGTGCGTGTCGTGAAGAGAGTGTTCGCACGAGTGGGATGTGTCTGGCACTGTTTCGGAAACCCGAAGTGTATCAGGCTTCGAAAGAATCGACGCCTGTGCTCATGTGCCTTGATAAGGTGAGGGCGTTCAAAATACGATGCAGTCGTTACTGACAAAATTGGCTCAGTGATGAGAACACACATGGATCCATTCACCCTTATTTGTAAGGTTATGGAATATTACAGCGCTAATTGCCACACTGCTAATCTGCCCGAATCCCGATTGACTATCGAAGAATGATTCATGCGGCGCCGTCGAATCGTCACCGCTATGCCAAAAAATCCTGGTAAATTTACCACATACGTATTGTTTCAAACACCCCAGACGTTCGATGTACCAACCGTTATTTACAGCTCTGCGGCACTCAGTTACAATCGAATCGATTTGATCAGATGTCACCGGGAACCGTTGAATTAGCCTACAGTAACACGATTAGATCTGGGATAAATGTTTCAAAACAATTTTGGGCTGGGACCTTTGAAACCAGTCGATTTGTGTTCACTTTGCGCGCTGTTCTGCGATAGGTTTGATCACATCAGAAGGCTCATGTGGAATAGGGCCGAGTTGGAATTCACATACGGATTGTTTTCTTTCCAAACGCTTTTAACTGGTGATGATATCGCTACCAAGCGATACAACCCTGGTAACATACTACCCATGAGTATGTTTAAAACTCTTCGATGTCTCGCCACCGGTTTCGTCCTTCTAGGGACTCATCCGGCAGACGTAGCTCCCGATTTTCCATTACACCTATTGCCCTTCTTGAAGAGCCATCTGGTAATGAGAAACTCAAGTGATTCAGCTGAGTGTATCTCGCCAATATACTTCTTTATGTATTTCGACTGCTATTCTCGAAGAACGTCACTTTGGGTGCATCTAACACTCCTGAGTAGCATTCGTACGAGGCAGCTCGGCAGTCGAGCGATCCTGTCGCACTGGACAGTCAGTTCAAGTAATCAAGAGAGGGCAAGCTTGCCGAATGAAGTCGAGAATCCAATGAAATAGGGGGGAATTACATATCAAGGGCTTATCTACCATAAGCAGAATATTCATTCGTCAGTACCATGGCATCCTGGAAATGGGAATGAGTGAAAATCACCAAGCGCACGGATACTTTTCCGGTCAGATATTGGGGCGACGGTACAGACATCGTTTAACCAAGAAACAAAGAAAACTCTACAGCTACCAAGTAGACATATCATTCAGGCATTCCCATCCCTATTCTACGACTTCACGACTTACGTGAGAGTTTTCCATCGCGGCGCACGATGCTTCGGGGGAACGAACCGACTTCGCCGGTACGTCGATTCTGCCCGCGCCACCAAAAATTATGGGGCTGGCCCTCGACCACAACAACCACATCACCGAATTCGAGACCTAATCGATCGGCCTCATCGAACGTCTGGGTGGCCACAACTTCGAACGGACGTATCTGCAGAATGAAATGGACTTAAATTTGAACTCGGAGTTAGCGCTTGGCCTGCGGACCTTGATGAACACAAACTCAACCAAGTCAATTGGACAACAAAGCCTAGTCAAGCCTGAGCAAGTTCCTGTTTCCAACAGTTTGGACACCGTGTTCCAATTAACTGCGTGAAACGAGGAGTGCAATCGATGAGGATGATGTGCAGACATTCTGTGGTGTTCGTCTCGGTCGTGATGAGGTCGATTAGACGGATAACCTATTGTTCCTATTTGTTCCGGCAACTGCAGACAACCCGACCGATGGCATGAAAGAGGGTTGGCGCAGCACACTTAGTTGCTTGAAAACGTCATAAACGAGAGATTCAGCTGGGTTCCAGGCGAGTCTCCCACAAAATCAGATTTGTTTGCAAATGAGTGTGTTTCGCCAACTGCTGTCAGTTCACTCTTCGAAAATAGTAGTATGAAAAACCGTCAACTGCTTTCACAGGTCAGCCTTAGTCATTCGATTGGTAGAAACGGATCGGTGTAGCAAACCTCTAAGCTGAGAGGTTCATCATGATCCGAGAAGACAAGAGTAAGTAACAGTGTGGCCAATACCACTGGATTGGATGACTCCAGATACACGAGGGCTAAGCAATCACAAGAATACTGTTTCAAGCTTGCATGGGTGCGAACCTCACTCAGAAGTGGTTGCTACGAATTCTGTTCAATCAGTCTCATACTACTCACAAGTTTTTTGATATTGTTGACAGGATAGATGGTAATGATCAATGCGAATGTACTGCACAGGAACTAGCCAAACATTCTGGCTGGTTACCATGGCACCGGACAAGTAAACAATTCGTGTGACGGCAAAGGGTGGCCACGTTTTAGCTCTGTGGCTGGAGGATGGTCTACCACGTACACCAATCCCATGACACAGTCGGACAGCCCTTTTCCGAAACACGGTGATTCTCTCAAGAGACCAGCTCGGACTGGGACAGACAACTTCCGTCCGGTCCTTTGAGGTGGTCTCTACCGAGAGAAGAGAACAAATAAGGTGGGCATCACAAAAGAGGCTTTATATGAGGGGAAACTGAACACACAAACCTACCTTGTTCAGGCGTTCAATCAAATAGGCAAAGGTCGGCCTGCGATGCGGTTCTGTACGCCAACAGGCCAGCATGATCTGATACAGGCGTCGAGGGCAGCAGGTGCGTGGCCAAGCTAGTCGACGTCCGGCGTCCAAAGCCTCTAGAAGCCTTTGAGCATCCATACCAGGCCAGGGAGCAGCCCCACTGGTCCACATTTCCCAACAAGTCACGCCCCAACTCCATACGTCACTGGCTTGCGAAAAAATTCGCTTTCGAATAGATTCCGGAGCAGACCTATACGCAACGGCACACCACAAGGGATGGAAGAAACCAGTGAAAATCTGGGGTAACACTGATGTCGCTCGGATGATCGTTACCTCCTAAAAGGGCCATTTGGGTGGGGGTGCACTTCAGGAATGAGCGAAAAACTTATGGAACAAATCGAGAACATACCAACGAATCGAGAGAGATAATAATGAGTAACCGGCGTATTAGAAAAACGGAGCATTAGTAGTTGTGAAAAACGAAAAGGTGGGACATGTCAGCAAAAGCAAGATCGTCTTCCCGGTGCGCGATTGCGAAATCCGAATGGAGGATGTGATAGGATTTAAAAACAATGAGTAACGGCGTATTAAAAAAACGGAGCATTAGTAGTTGTGAAAAACGAAAAGGTGGGACATGTCAGCAAAAGCAAGATCGTCTTCCCGGTGCGCGATTGCGAAATCCGAATGGAGGATGTGATAGGATTTAAAAACATGGGCCCCCTCACCCTGATCGCATGTCTTACAAATGCGAAAACGGCCCAGTAGTAGCCTGCCAAAAAAGTACGGGGCACATACAAGTTGGAATACTCGTGTGGAAGTTCGGGTGGGCGGAGAGAAAACGGGTTGTGGCCTCAAGCATCCAAAAAACCGCGAAAGTCAGTCACATGGAAACATATTTGCTCGGTTAGACATAATGACAACACTGGGGAGTTCGGCACGGTGTTATCGGACCACTGGTAAGAAACTAGCAAGTCAGATCGAATTCCAATACAGTCGAAAACAGGAAAACCCGAGCTAGTTGCTCACTCTTAGGGGTCCATCGATCAGAATAACCGCGCCCAAACCCAACAGAGGTTGCCCAAGTAAGTGAGTTTTCCATGCCCAACAGAGAGGTGGCCAATCCTTCACATCGTAAGGAGTATGAAGGAGATCACGAAACGCTTGGGTGCTGTCGGTACTACTCGCCTTCCAGGATGGGGACCACGTGATCCTAACTGTGCTTGGTTGGAGACATTACAAGATATGACTGCCAACTGATGTCGGTGGCGTTTTTGTTGTCAGTTTCTATCCAGATTGCCTGAGTGAATGTCTGGAGGTGTAGGCACCTCAGAATGATTGTGGCAAGCTAGCAACAAGTCCCTCCCCCATCCACCTTTATTCTTTTCCTTACAATAAGGCTTTCAAATAAGCCATGGTTGTACGGCAGTGAAGCATCGGTGTTGAACACGGATGTCATGCTGTCGACGATGATGATGATGATGATGATGATGATGATGATGATGATGATGATGATTACAAGTAAGTGAGTTGTACGGAAATAGGGATGAGAACCAGGGCAACAGTGAAATTTGGTTTAGGAACCCCAAGAAAACTGGAACAGATACCGTCCCTTCTCCCAAGTCACTAGATTTGTCGAAGAGCGACAAGACATACAAGAATTATCCATAGAATTTGAACAAGGATAGAATTTTCGAACCTACTACAGCCGGCTGTGTCCAGTTCTTATCAATAAACTGATGGCGTTACAACTGTTACGAATCATTCGATAGAGAATTTCAAGCTCCCTGATGGCACCAGGTTACTTGTGGTGTGACAGTGATACTACTGATGGGGGAGGCATGCGAGCAGTATGTTTTCCTCTTGTAAATTTGATTTGCGTCTCTGGAAAAGGGAGATCTGTTGCGGAATTTGTGGAGTCGCTTTGTAGCATTTACTTGGATTTGAGCTACACTCAATGAATATCCAGGAAAGTTCAGGAAGACGCGTTCAAGGAGAAGATGGATATTCAGTTACTGTAAATAAGATGTATATGAGAGTTTTGCTTCCCTGTCCAATAGTCTGTAACTGGTCAGTTGGCACTTTGTAATAAATAACTCCGCAGCGAAGGCCTTCTTCCTTTCAGTGGCAGTCTCGTTGAAAGTGATCCGGAACGGTACCAGTTTACACGTTATTCTCCCCACAAAACGGTAATCATCCCTCAGTAACCAGATACCATACTTGAATATGGGCTAATCCGTGATGCTCACTATAAAATCGATCCAACTTTCTTGAAACAGAACATGGATTTGATGTGTGAATCTGTTACAGTCACATAAGAATTTCTGAGTCGACCGCATTCTTCTATGTTAACGTTTGCCGTGATCGTCCAGGGAAAAACGGCTACACGCGCTACAAAACCCGTCCCCATTTGATTTGGGTTCGTCTAAAAGAAAGAAACAAAAGAACCACTCCAATTTTCGCGAAATACACTGATTTGCAAATCAATTAATTTG